AGACGATTTATTTTGCTTGTACCAAAAGCCCAAGCAGAGTTACAACTTGCAGTAGCTACTTACTGAACATCCAGAAAAGTGCTATTAGCAACTGATGCGTTTCAAGTGGGTGTTCAATGAAATATTACTCAATCCGGACAGCGGCAATTGGCATCGCTATCACGTGCTCTGTCCGGGAGGGGTGCAATTTAGGACATTTGAGGTGCGGCGTTGCACAAACCAATCTTCCTAGCTAGATAAATGGAAATAACACTTCAGCGTCAATACAATCACGTCAAGGCAGCCCACGTCCTCTATTACATAGCCTCATCTCAAAAAACAGTTCGCGACTCTATTTCGAAGAGATCGGTAATTGAACAAATGCTCTTTTATTTCAAGATTTGAGGTTAACTGTATGAAAAGCAGTCTCTCAATGTAACAGCTGAATGAAACTGTCGCATCCTCGGAACCTGGGGCGTGAAGAACCATTTTATCCACAATCGAACTTTTTAGGGACAGAATAAAAAATAGTCTTCGCCGTTGATCAATCCCTTTGTGGGATGCGGCACGCATTCCAATTCTGTTCAGAAGCCAATGTACAAGTCAGTGTTTTATCCTCCAATACAACTGTGGTACCATTTACCGTTCCTGGAAGATAGACGGCTTGGATGATAAGCGGGAGTCGACCGGGATTTGAATCCAGGACCGCGCGAGTGGTAGGCGCGCCGCTTGTCATTACACCACCTCCGCTCCTTACCCTTTCAGAGATAAGGTCGTGATGTAAATGATAGAAGACGTGGGTAGCCATGACCTAGTGGATTTGACGCAAAGAGCTATATAGCCACCTACCTAGAAATACTACCTGGGCAGAAATTCCCAGACGAATCCCCCCCCATCTCTCCAGAATAAACATACAAAACACCAGCTTTGCGGTGAGTCATCGCCATATGCTGCAGGAAGAGTTGTATATGGCATAAAAAGAATTAGCATACACCAACATTATTCTCCTTTACTGTTATATCGCTACAGTTATAACAGGGAACGGTACATACGAATGAAAAAGGATCGTGTACTTGGGGAGAAACTGTCCACTCACCACATCGAATGCTGCAGTCCTGGTATGTGACCTTGGTGGAGGGTCCCAGTAGCTGGCAAGAATAGCGCTGGCGCTTTCTCGCGAAAACCAGACGGGCGGAGGGGTAGGTGGCCACGAGTCGCCTACTTTGGCCCGTGCTGCGCAGAACCAGCCATGCGTGTGAGCATAAGCTCAAACCGCTGCTTATCTGGGCCCTCTTACTTCTGATTGTCCTCTACGGCTATGTCCTTCGCTGTGGGACTCCGGTATCGACGTAAAAGCTGCATCTGGAAGAGCTCTAAGGGTAGGGCGGCAACTCACTCGGCGGGCACGAGATCATGTGCTTTCAGTTCTTGACCATTTTAAGCGGAGAAACTGCAGTGGGTGCTTGGAAGCAGGCGAACACCCCCCCCCCCCCCCCCCCCCCCCCCCCCCCCCCCCCCCCCCCCCCCCCCCCCCCCCCCCCCCCCCCCCCCCCCCCCCCCCCCCCCCCCCCCCCCCCCCCCCCCCCCCCCCCCCCCCCCCCTGGTTGCGAACAAGAACTCATCAATTTTGAATGATAATCTCTTGATAACCCTTATGAAATTTTAAATTAGCTCAAATATCTATCTACTATATCTACTATATTTGAACCAGAACATATGGAAAAATACGGAACAACACGGCAGTACGCGAAACTAAACGCGGTTCCTAGAACAAACAGGCTGTGTACGCCAAGGTCCATACTTATTAGCCGCTCCCGAGTTGAAACGTTGGCCTAACTTGCAAATAAATTTCCTCGAGATATACCCCTGACCCGATAAGCTTTGGCGTTCAGCCAAAGATTCACCCTGACTCGCAAATAGGCTTGGCGTTCAGCCAAGAATTCACCCTGACTCGAATAAGCTTTGGACGCTCAGCCAAGTACAACCAGATTAACCACATCGTTTTTTTAGGTTCCTAACAAAAACCGCTATTCGAATAGCCACGGATATTATGCTACTTGTTGCTGATGATTCTTTTTTTTAACATACTTTTCAACAGTTTACTTGGACAAGCATCCGTAAACCATCTACATATGCATTGTTTGTACTGGCCGTATGAAAGTGACCTGATCAACAGGGTTAGTTAAAGCTTATTTATATTTTTTCGGGAGCGAGTTCGGACCTACTCTTTTACAATTGTAATTTTAGCGATTTGAACCATTGAATGATCTTGTCAACGTCTATATAATTGAACCACCGAAATTGCGCTTTGTAGTGCCATTGCATTTCAGCTTACAAGTCTTAACGAATACGATGTATTCCGGAGGTGGGCTGATTATTGGACATTCGTTTTTATTTGTTGCTTCTGTGCAAAATATTATTTCATTCGCGATGAATTTCTCTATAATTAGCTCATGATCCGTCTTAAGGCATGTCTGCCCTTTCTAGAGCGAACATCCCATTCACATAATTGCAATAATCCGTCTTCGGTTTCGCTCAACCGTCTTCGTTTCGCTTCAAAACCGGGAACCATAACAAGAGCGCCCATTCCATTTCTGCTGCCTCCTTATTGCTAGCTCCGTTTTCTTTCAGAGGGAGATCTTTGATGTCTCCGCAGTCAGAAAGAACACTCATAGTCAAGTAATTGATATCAAAAAGCATCCTGCACCATCCAGCCTCATGTGATTCCTGTCAGTCCGACATGACAAACAAAATTAACGAGCTGCATCTGCTGCTTAAGATGCCTTCTGTTACTCAGCATCAGAAGTGGGGGGGAGGGGCAATTTGTTAATTCACTGGTTTCTGTAATTCTCTCACCTTGAAAATGACGAAAAAATGTAAACTAACTAAAAATATAACAAAATGTAAACTTCTGTGAATGGTTAAGTTAGAAGTATCGGAAAACAACCGGGATATAGCCAAAATGCGCGTAAGACTGAGTGCTTGATAGCAGCAGGTGCACGCAACAACCCTTACGTGCAGGCAGTTTCTGGCCATGTAAAAGGCGAGTCGCTCTCGCTTCTTGGCATCACCCTGGAGCTTCTTCCCCCGCGCCTGTGAGTGCGGGAGCGCGCGGAAGACTACGGGTCAATGATGAAGTGTACAACAAGCAAGCTCTGCAAAAAGCGTATAGCACAAGCTGGTGTACTCGGGTGAACTGAATCGGCTCAGGGTATACCCAAATGTGTGCATTCACGAAGCCTTCACGTTTTATTTCACGCGCAATTTTCGGGGCATCCCTCTGCTTGCCCGAACTTATGATATTTTATGGTATGGTCTTCATTAGCTACGGATGTAATGGTCTTACAAGAAATTATAGGCTTTCTCTAGTCGGCCTGTACAAGCCTTGTTGAGTGCTATTTCACAGCTTCACAGGAAATCATAAGTCTGCATGGGATAAAAACAGTAAACAGTGCTCCCTCCCAAGCGTCGAGTTTCTTGAATATACACCGAAAAGGCTGAGATCTCGGGGATGTCGGCAGGCGTTCCTGCACTGCTTACTACTATTGTCTCCAATTCAAGCCAAGTACTCAGGATTGGAGTTTTTCCCCGGTCGAAATCCGCTCGAATTCTGTCCCGGGTATAGCTTGACACTATGACACCAGTGTCAGACCGTCTTGGGCAAAGCTGCTTGATACATTGTACATTGATACTTGATATGAGGCATCAAGCGGTTGTGTGTTCATGTTCCAAGGATCAAATTAATCCTGGACGGAAGGGACAATAGCCAAATTTCGCCAAATCCATCCCCAGGGAAAAATAGCAATAAACATCCGGCTAGCATTTCGAAAAACAGCAGCAGTAAAGGGTAATTATTGTGGGGGTGGCTCTCAGTGGTTTATAGCCTGGCAACAAGCGGCCCCTCGAACTTCTGAATCTGATATGAACGTTCGAAATCAGAGTTCAGTCGTTACGGAACGATTTGTATCGGACTCTGGGATACGAGCAATGCCCTCAAGGGAAAATTAGATGAATCTAACTGCAAATGCTATGCTTTTGACTTGTTTCTCTTATTTTTCTCTTATAGCCATGCAGGCGCATCAATACTGTGCCAGCAACACATCTAATCACGAACTAACACAGCAAGCTATTTCGCTAACGAAGACAGCTAATGTCGACTAATTGATCCCCACACTAGACGTTCTCATCTTTATAGGAAATTGTGATCTAATATAATGCACGCAAATAAAAAGGGGTGTTCTCTAGGAGGGACTTGAGCGCTATGGGGGAAGGAAAAAAATGGATAGCAAGACAGTCCAATATTGAGGTCCCACCAAGATGTGGCGCGACGTTTTTGACTGCTGCGCTGTTACTTCCGGCGTGTAGGTCAAGACATCTGGTCCACGGCATCGCACGCAGACTAGCAGAGTATTTCCTGGCAAACTGACTTGTCACAGTGGAGCATGGCCATGGTAAATCAGTGCGTCCTGGTGCAAATATCGCGCATGTAGACTGTATATCCCGGAAAGGAGGGAGGGCGTGGGCGCGTAATTCACCTGAACATGGTGAGAGACGCCTTCTTATGGGGAATTTCTATTACAGATAACTGTCATCCTGCCTTGGTGCTGATCAAAAACCCAAACACATTTGCCCCAAAATGGCGATATATCGCCCATAAAGAGCAGCCAGTGCCTCGCTCGAATGAAGCAAGCAGCCACGCCCTCCCCACCTGTCAGATGTGGAGTGTGATTGCTGCGGCGTTTCCATTGAGGTGACTTGGACATTCCAGACTAAACAACTACGCTTCGTTTTTTTCCCCTCTTTCCAACTACTTTTCTATAATACATTCCATATCTTAAAGATAAGCTGGGCGTGGATCACGTTCCTTCACATTAACGTGGAGAAGAGGGTTTTTCCGTAGGGTAACGGCAATCCCACCAAAAGCACGGTCGCCACGTCGAAGTGAAGTACGCAGCCACGCCCACTCCCTCTTTGTGATATGAAATGTATCTACTGAACAGGGTGATCTTTGGAAGTCATATCTGGATTTTTTCAGCAACCTCACCCGGTGTGTCGAATTTCTAACGGAACAAAACCAGGCGCACAACGTGTTTATTACTCGAGCGCAGCCAATTCGTACGAGCGGACCCGTGCAGGAGGAAGATCGTGCACGTGTACGGCCACAATACGTCACCGCCTACGTATTCCCACGGGTAAACGCCAGCGGTAAGTTGAGCCTAATGGCTTTATAATTTCAGTAACTAGACGTTTTCGAAAATAGTGCAGCTAAAAGGCGTCCATGCGGGTCTCATTAGTAGACCGCCACATAAAAAATGCGTAGACGAGAAGCAATTTTCAGGAAATTGCCAAACATAAACTGCCACCAATAACAAAAGTGCAACGCAAAGATGGGGAGGGAGAGGGGGGGGGGGAGTTCGGTATTAGCCTCACCTTATTCATTCCAACGCGATAAACATTCCTATTCCTTTAATTAGCCTGAAACTTCTCGACAGAAGAGATCGCGAGCATTTGTTTGGATGACTGAAGCCGGGAAACAATTTTTCATACATATTAGAATGAGGTTACTACGACAAAACAGCGACAGAATCCCTAAACACAGTGGTGGTCGCATAGACAACAAAAACCTCTCAAATCCTCCAGATAGGGAAAAATGAAATTTCCAGGTGCAAAACCGCCAACAAATTTCAATCCTGCCGCCAATGAGCTTGCCGGTTGCCTTACATCCTATAGTGAGTTCCTTACAACTTTTTACAAACTTTTCTGCACTTTGAAGATGCAAAAGAAAAATATAAGTGCATTCCTAAAGCTGCACAAATTAACAGGTTTACGTCATTAATTTCGTAGAACCGCTGACGTGAAATCAAATAATGGATGCAGGAATTCGCAATAAGGGCAGGCTTTCAGAAATGTAATTTTCAGCAATACGGTTTTTCGAATCTGCCAGTGAACAGTCTTGTGTACGGATTATCGAGGAAGAAGCCCAGTTAGAAAGTGAGGTATTCCAAAAAGTGAGTGCTGAGTGATGATTTGTAAATACTTTGATTTTCATTACTTATTAACTTTTCACTTTATTAAATGAGAGAGTGAACTGCAAAGCGATTGAGCCTTAAGATCATCTGAGAATATTTACGGCACAGGTCCGATTGGTGGGGGAGGGCGAGGAGGGGGGGGGGGGTGAAAGGAAGGGCAGGCAATTAAACTTCTTGTGCAAATTGCGTGTTGCTCTTAGGGAAATAAAAACATTGCCTAACAGGGTGGGGAGGGTGGGAAGCAGGAAAGGATGACAGAAATGGCGATAAGTGAGTTTCCCGGAGTTTCTACCTCCTGTCTGACCCCTAGCCTACTACCACTGCTGCAAAATAGCGCAGCAAGAAATCGGGAAAGGGGTAGATACCTTTAACCAATTACCAGTGATAGTAGTTTTGCCCACTGCCATGAAGTAGGGAGGTCACACCCGGAAATGAACAACCAAGAAAATTTCCTCAAACCGAATAAGAGCCCTCCCCTTCCCGTGGTGGATTTTTCGCAACGATGATGTACGGTGTTGGGTCCATGGTGGGGAGGCGACCTGAGTTTTGAAAAAAGTTTTGCATGAACGAGCTCCTAAATGCCCCTTCCTTTCTTATTTTGTCATTCAGTATTAAGCTCGCTAGACGAGAATTGGAGGTGCTGTAAAGGGCAATGCCCGACCTTTGGGGAGCGGAGGAGGGGATTTTCAGAGAAGCTGATTACGAAGCGGACGTAGGGCGACTGAGAGACCGGAGATTCTTACGAGTTTGACACTCAGGGAGCGAGACGGCTTCGCAACCTTTAGTAACACTCCCAGACTCCTACCACCTCCCCTTAATAAATGTGGGCGCCGCAAAATAATTCCTCTCCGAAACGTACATTTAGATATGGCCTACAAAGTGATTTAATTGAGGCAGAGGTGGGGGCAGTGGGGTGGCAAGTGGCACGTTTACCAGGTGCACGATCGGAGGATCAAATCCTGGAACGGCTCTGGTCCTGGCCAACCAAGCCTTCTTTCCTCCGCGGACGAAGAATCGGTACCAGATTCGTTTGGAAGCATAATAACTAACTTGTACACGGGCTGGCTTCTGCAAGCCATTTTATGGGCCACACCGTATTCGGTGAGCCACTACGATCTGGGAGTAAGATGCAAAGGGACTGCTCAACGGCGAAGACTTTGTCCTTCCATCTTTCAGTAAGCTAATCTACGAAAATTAAAATTTGGTACTCAAAAAACTTTTAAAAAATTCAGCTATTTTTAGAGGGCGGTTCAGGAGGATTCGACCTTAAGAGATTCCTAGAAATTGTACTTCAATAATCGTTTCACAGAAACGTGTCATTCACGTATCATAGAATGACAATAGGCAGAAATGCTTAGTCATGCTCCTCCAAGACTAAAAAAATCTATCTACTTTATTGCGTTCCCAGGCAACTCTCTCTGGATTAATATTTTTTAAGCCTAATGTCTTTAATCAGCTGACATAGGTAGAAACTAATCATGTCAGATTGCCTTTTTCAGCTAGCCTTGGACTTTTCTGATCTGCTTAGCAATCGACCACTTGGCTCATCACATTGTTCGCATAATAATGCTTTGGAGGTGTGTTTAATTATTTTATCATTCAAGATTGCCAACAGTTTGCAAGGGAGATCGATTAGTGACCAGCGAGGAGATAATCGACAGAATTGCAACATTAGAACGCGTCAAAAGCGCTCGGCTTTTTTTTACACTCGGCAATCGCGTGCTTCATCGATGCCGCCTCCAATCATCCACTTTGCAAATGAGGGACAAAATCCATGGGACAGTTCTTTTCAACCCTTGCCGGGTGTTACGAGAAGCACAGCATGGTAAAGTAGCTCAATATTCCCAGGAATGCTATTTAGAGCAGTCGTAATCAGCAACAATTGAAGAACTTGTAATATCCGCCGTTTAATGAAACATTAAAACTCTCCGCTAACGCCTTTTTTTTACACTGAATCAACGTGCTCTCCAGCAATCTCGTTAGAAATTAATTTGAGAAATGGGGGCTTGCTTTTGTGGCAGCCTGTTCTATTGGGAGGGGTAGATGCGAACAGGACTAGAAGATTCAACACCAAAGAATTCGGTAATTTTTTTATCTACGAAACAGGCTTGAAGTTTGTTGGAGCTGTGTGGCCTTTACTGTCCCGTTCTCCAAAATTCAAGGCAGATTTTGATCGGAAATATTCATTATGGATAGATTTCGCTGGAATCGAATTAAGGCACGTCCTACACTGCGAAGAGAGTGGAGGGGAGGGGTCGCATTTGGTTTGGAAAAAAATTATGATAGTTGACTTTTATTGTTGCGCGGAAGCTATTCACATCATTGAGAGAATCTTATTGGGGAAGGGTCATTTTGCTTGCCACTGGTAGAGGGGAGGGGTCGTATTCGCCCAAACCAAGTTCAAGTTTCGGGTCAGAGAATCGAACCTGAACTGGCTTAGAGAGGAAGTGAGGAATGGTGGAGCTCGTAGCAATCAAAACCTCTACAGGGTACCAGTACCAACGGCCCCGCTTGATGCGTTTATCATCATGGCAAAGTGTCCACCACTTGGGGGAGGCGGTTGGGGAGGGGGGTTACCCACGCACAAAAATCTTATTCTCACTCATGACCCCCCCCACTATGTAATTGCGACGAAAAAGAGAAAGAGTAGAGTGCTTCTCCATTATTTTTTTTGCCATTTTTGGCACTAACGAGCCTTGGACGAGAGCTCGCCATCCCTTGTGTAGAACACAGCAGGGGGTCGTATTTTGCCGTGGAAAAATATTTCTCAATGCTTATTGTTTGTTTTCGACGTTCAGCGCACGCTATATTTACCACCTCTCCCACGGCAAAGTTTTGAAAACAAAGTTGGAAAGATGGTTGATAGAACCAAAGGAGGAAATTCCAAGGTGTAGGGGTCGTATTTTGCACAAGTTCACCATAGCATAATAGTTTGCGCTACTTGGGATATGTTTGAAGCACTCCTCACGCGAATGGGGACTATAATCATCCAAAGAAGTACCGCAGTTTAAACTGATCAACCAACCCCGAAAATCTTGCTATTTCAGGCATAGGACGAAGTTATCATCCTGCGGGAATCCCAGCTTAGCACAGTGAATCCTTGAAAGACAATCCCCGCGATCAAATGTTACGGGTGATAGGGGCCCAACCATGAACCAGTGGCTCACAAGTAACTTTCCAGTAGAGTAAGAAGCAAAAAAATACCTTGGGAACACTCTGAGTAGAGACTCTTTCAGCAGTGGGGCCAGCATCTGGATGACGTTTATCGGTCGGCAAACAAAATCATCGGTATTCTACGTGCAACCGATTCCCGGCAAGAGCACAGAAAATCGCTCTACGACGCTCCAGGCAACGCTATGTACACACCGCTTGTAAGCCGTTGTCTTGCAGAGTGAAAGTAATCGTGGTTGCAATGGTTGCAATAATCACGCGTCTCTAGCTTCTTTATCTCGCCGTTTCGAGTGACGAAAGTGGTATATCTCTGCAAATGCGGACAACGATGTCAAATGCACGAAGGCATTTCGCGGACACTTGATCGCGGGAACTGTCTTTAATGCCCTCTTCCCCGAGGTCATTAGCGCGTCGTTTTTCTCTGGGATAAGTTTCGTATTACTGAAAAGCCATCTTCTGGAGATTGCATTCCTTCTGAGAAAACCAGATAGACGAAAAATAGATAAAATTCTTCCGAAGATGGACCTTAAAAAATCGGTACCAATATCTCAAGCGCCGCTTGCTCGCGACGGAACCGTTGCTCCGCCCACTGACCGCGGCGACGCCCCAAATTCATTTTTAACTGCGACCTGCTGGTGCATTAGTTGCGCAGTCAACTCTCTAAATTTTGAATGATGAGAATGAGATGATAAGGAGGAAGAGCTCACACCAACAGGTAAGACCACATTCCGATCACGCCCATTTTCGTCTTATGCATGCATTAGCGCGGTTCAGAATGGGGTTCTATGTAGGACATTTTCGGCAAGACTTTCCGCTTCTTTCTTCACTGCTGGATCGTTTACTAGCTTGTCAATAGAACTTGAGCAGTAAACTTCCATTTTCAAACCCGGTGCTTCAAAAGTTCAGTTTCAGTCTCTCCTGAAGCGCTTCTTTTTTTCATGATCTCCATAAAGCAAAGAATTCAGTCAATTTTACAAAGTAGATTTCTGAGCGAACAAATTCATTTGGTTTCCATGGGCTCATAAGTGAATCCATGCTAAAACCTCAACACATTCTCCAGTGAGTGGATTTCTCTAAAAGAATCGTAAAGAGCCTCATAAATGTTGCACAAGTGCTTTAGCAGTAATGGTTCTGGTGATTTTCGTGGATATGCACGCTCTCCATTCAATCCGCCACTTTTTCAGGATCTGACTTCACCTGAGATTGATGAATTACGAGACAGCTTTCAAACGTTCACACCTCACTCGCCCAATGTCGGCAGTGCTCGTCGAAGTCGAAGCGGTTCATCGGAAAAAGACAAAATTTCCTCGTCGAAATTCACTTTCGCACAAGATACGGGCATGCAGCTCCTCTAGTTCGATATTGGGGTCTTGAGAAAAAAATTGTCGATTCTCTTGTCTCTATTATGGGTTGAATATTCGGTTTATAGTGCTGTTCATGTAAACTCTTAAGGGCAGTGGGTACGATGGTTGGGGGCGGCTGGTTGCTGCCAGTGCCACTGGAGAGAAGGACTGCTAGAGGGCGTTTGGCCACAACCCGCTACGCCCTTCCACCAGTGACGCTGGCAGCAACCGCCCGCCTCCATAGTACCTACTGCCTTCAAAATTTGGTAACGATTGATTGATATATCAGTGAGTGCATGTAAATCGTTAGAGCACATATCCCTACTACCAGGATTCTTAATTTTATTCGTGATTGAACTTTACGGATTTTAGAT